AAGAATACCCGAATTACAGATAAAGAACACTCCCATTTTGTTCAATCCCTAGAAGTAAAAGACCAACCACCTACATTCCACAGAAACCATACAAAAATATGAATTTTTGTAAAATATAATTTAGCAATACCTGAAAGTATCATTATACAAAAAAACAGCACTTAACGTGCAGAGAACCAACACTACCAACCTCCCCAGCCCATGTTGTACCCAAAGAGCACAAGTGACCAGGTCGCACTATCAACGTTCAAGTTGCTGCCTTACACATCCATAAAGCGCCTCAGAATCTGGGAATTTAATCTCTTTTAGAAGCCCTCCATTGCAAACAAAAACCTGAAACTGCGGTGAAGTCTAAACCAAGCGAGAAAGCTCCTTATAAAAATCTAAGATAAAATTCAGACAGAGATAAAGGTTTGATCCTATTTCTATTAAAGTGACAAAGATCTTTGATTTGGAAGGCACAGGATCAGATTATGAGGGAGTTACAACAGGAGACAAAAGTTCATAGCAAGAGAGCCAAGTCATCTACGATGAACATGATTACAGCATTTGAAAACCTACTCTAATAAAGAAATCACACAGAGCTTAATTTCTTCTCTTCTGTGGTAAGCGGTAAGAAATGAAATGGGAAGCAGAAGTCAAGACTTCTATGCAAATACCTTCCTAAGAGATTAGGAAAGATACTCTAAGGGCAAAGTTGCTCATACCAAAACATTGTATTGGGACTTTTCGACTCCACATCACCACCACAGTCCTGGCGGAAACATTCATTTTTGCCCACAAAACTAAAACAGAATATGTCATATCCATGACAACATTAAACTGCAGACATCTCTCCCTTTGTTGAATGTTTATAATGGTAGGCTGTACAATCACATGTGCCATGGACTTTGGAATAACCACCCCACTTCTCCACTCCTTTCCTGGTTCTCCTGCTGACACGTAGAGGTTCTTTAGGTCTTTTACAAAGACAACAGCAGCAGGAAATTCTGTGCCTCTTTCTCACACACTAGTTTGTCTAGCTTCAGCTTCCAGTACTCTTTTGTCATCATATACTGGTAACACATAGCTCTTAGACAACATACAGACTGGCCCTGCAGTCATCTCCCCAAGTCCTCTTACTAGGCTGAGTTTCCTGCAAATGCACTATAGAGCATACACCCACAGGTAAGTTCTACTCTCTGAGAAAACAGCAGCCCAACACAGATTTTTCATCCACTCAAACAGTTCAGCTTGACTGAAGCTTAGTCTGTCTGTCTGTTCCCTACCTGTTCCCAAGAAAGCAAGCAGGTAGGGCAGGGCAGTATATACTGTTCTAATAACTGCAGCGCGTTCCCACAGCTGTATTTTCTCACCAAGAGCTAACCTGTAAGATAGCTGTGCAGCCCACACAAACTAAACCAAAAATAGAGAGTAATGCGTGTGCAGACAGCTCCAGTGAACTACACACTGGGCATACACAGCACAATCAGAGGCATTTGCAGAGTCTGACCACCACTGTTCATGAAAACAAACTGTGGCCTGCCAAACACTGTGCTAAAACAAAGAGTTTTCTATCCAGATTTAACCTCTCTCATTATTTTTATGTGAGGACAACACTTAGTCTTCACTTTACCTAAGCTAAACTGATGACGTTCCTAATATTTTTTACTACATTTCAGCAACCCATGCTGGAATATTGTATTCAGGTCTAGTATTGAGAATATATGAAGAACGCTGATAAACTGGAGAGGATTCAGAAGAGAACCAAGAGGGTCTATAACAGAATTTACTGCCTCTTTGCTTTAAAGACAGAAACTTTCTCATTTTCCAAACTTACTACTTCTCTATGCTAGTGGATTATAGGGGAAAAACCAAAAACAAAACAACCCTCATATCTGTCAGTATTCCTTATGTATCAACCTCAATGAGAGGATATAAAAATCAAGAGATTTTGGGCCACCATGACCCACCAAAGTTTCCTACTTTTTGTACCAAGAACGGATATTTAAAAGGTAAAAACTCTTATGAAGAGGTATCAATCAAAATTCTACATTTGGAGCAGAAATGAAATGCAGCTTTTCATGGCAGTATGCTTCTCAAGGAGCAACACCATAAAATAAGAAGCTGGGGGATTTTATTAGTCTTAATCTGTGGAATAACCTGAATCCTATCCTCATGAACTGCAGCTTGCTTTTGAAACATTATTTACCTTTCAAACCACAGCTTTATACTCCGCATAAATGTTCTGTGAGGGTATATTTGGTTCTCTCTCAAATACAAGAGGATACCAAACAGCTCTTTTTGTAACTCAGCATCTTTCATACCCCTGCTGAAGTCAAAAAAGGCCTGCAGGACATCCAGGGTTGGCACCAAATCCTTAGCCAGCATCTCATGGTAAAGTTCACATGCCAGGTTCATTTCTTGGTGACGGCTGGCCGCTTTGATACAGGATTCATAGTTTGTTCTTGAGGGAGTCATAACTTTTCTTACTTCTTCCAGAAGAGTCAAGGCCATTCTCCATTGATCTGAATTACTCAGCCCCCTGATAAGAAGGTTGTAAGCCCCACTTTCTAATATCTTAAATCTGATTTTCATTATATCATACACATCACAAATCTCTGCCGTCTTCCCTTGCTGGACACATAACGCCAGGTACTTGACCAACAAATTATACCTAATGTCACCATCAGTCTTCGCCACATAAGTCAGCAAGGACTTGGCCACATCTATGGGGCTGTTGCACCTGACCATACTGTTAAACATCACATCTTCAAATATTTCAGGTGATCGAAAGTTTTCCCTCAGCCTACTCCATTCTTCGGCCTGCAAAGGCTTTTCTGGAGGCTGGACCTCGACAAACTTATGCCTTGACAGAACATGACTCACTAATCGTTTCTTCGGAGCTCCAGAGGAATAAAAGTGAAGTTTTCCTTCAGATATTTTTTTACTCTCCTCATCCCATGCTGTTTCTCCTTCATACTGAATCTCAGACCTTTTCTTAGTAGGAAAAGCCTCAGTTCCTTTGGAATCCACTGGCAATGCAGTGCTGGAAGATGTCATAAAACTGAAATAGCTAACCTTTTCCCTGTTGGCGATATTGAAAGAGACAGCAAACAGCTGCTGGCATCTTGAAAGAGGCCACAATACACGACATTTCCCTAGCAAAGCCTGCATACCCTGTTGGCTAGTTTGAGGAAAGCGTGCCATTATAAGAAGAAACTATGTCACTACTAGCTCACTATATCTAAAGAAAAAGGAAAAACACAATTCACATAGGAAGGCTTATTATAAAAGTCTTAAGGCTATCAAGCTGTATACGTTACAATCTTTCTTCAAAACGCTTATCCTGTGATTCTTTCAACCCTGTTAGGAAAACAAAAAATGGTAAAATCTTTTTTCACAAAAATGGATGTCTTAAACTAGGAGAACATGCTTCCAAAATTAGGGCATCTTTCTTCCTAGACAAGTTGCTTTGCAGGTTTGCAGCTTATTGCTTCTGTTTGTCGGATGCTGTTAAGTAATACAGCTGCTGTACAGAAATGGGCAACACTGATGCAGCTATCCAAGAAATATAGGGCTTTTTTCCTGTCTTCATCCAAGTCAAGTCAGATTTCCTAAAAATAAACAAAATAAAGAACACCACTACAAAGAATAACATCATAACATGCTTCACGCTTAGTATAAGTCTTTGCTGCGACATTTACAGCTACACGCTAGCCAACGCAAAAGCCAAGTTTATCGAGACAATTTTAGGTTAGGAATCCAAGTGCTGGTAACAGACTCCCAACACGGGAATCCTGCATTAGTTCCCTCACGCCTTTTAACCCATGACAAACTTCAGCTCAGCTGCTGCCCCCCGTTACACACTGTGGGTAACATCGCTGCCACGGCGG